GTTTTGGGAACTGACAGGGACCCCCTCCTCATTAAAGAAATTACCCGAAAGTTCAGGGGGTGTGACCAGTCTGTCCTCACTGGTAAGCCCAAAGTGTTCCTGATCCAGGCCTGCCAAGGAAGTAACATACAGCGTGGAGTGCAGTTGATGGAGACTGATGATGATACTTCACCATTGACCATCCCTGAGGAAGCTGATGTTCTGGTTGCCATGGCCACTGTTGAAGATCATGTTTCAGTTAGAGATCCATCAGTTGGAAGCTGGTTCGTTCAGTCTCTTTGTGAGCAGCTGAAGGAGCGCTGCCCCAGGTAATTGTTTTAAAATCACCAAGTACATCAGCACACTGACCCTGACAGTAGTAGTAACATGTTTTTGTATCTCTATAAATGCTCTTAGGGGCGAGGACATCGTCTCCATCCTCCACTTCGTGAACAATGATGTAGCACATAGAAAGGGCTACTTGCGCACCCGGTCTGGTGAAGTCAAGCCAGCCAGGCAGATGCCTGAACCGAAGTTCACTCTGACGAAGAAACTTGTGCTGCAACCACAGCACAGCTGAAGTCATCATGGAAACCCAGCACACCTTACTGTGCAACTAGGGATGCATGATTAACTCAGTTTCTTATAATGTTTCTTAAAATGTTGCTTTTATATTTTCCATCTTTTTTCATCATTTTAAATGTTTTATTTTCCTAAATCTTAATCTCACATTGCGGTGTTGCATTTTATACTGTCACAGTATATCAAAGAATAAATCTGACTGTGAACGCAACTGGTAAGAAACATTTTTTTATTCGTGTTGGGAAGTTTTTACATGTGCTGCAGTAAAGCTTCACTGGGGCTTTGCCTAAACTGAGCCTTTGCATTCTTAAACCTAGTAATATTATTAAATCACTCAAAAAGCTAAAAAAAAGTTTTCAAACAATAGATTTCTGTTTAGGCTCAAATCAGTTTGATGTTTCAAGGCTCACACTGATGAAATAATAATTCCCTTCAAAAACGTCAAGCCAAAAGTAATCAGCCGGGTTTGAAAATGTAGGAAGTAGAAGTAAAAAGTTGCCACAAAAAAACTACTCAAGTAAAGTAGATATACCTTATAACTCTACTTAGTATAGTAACAAAATATTTGTACTTCTTTACTGCCCACCTCTGCTGTAGTCCCCGTCAAGCTTAAAGCATGCACTGTTGATAATTCAGCTGAAGTGTAATCACAAGTGAACCTCAAACTTGGTGTGTTGCACATTCTTTTAGATCCAAAACAATTCAATAAAACTGTATTGAGCCCGAAGGAAATTGGGTAACAGACCTACCACACCTACAAGTAGCATTACTGGCCACAGAGTGAAAGGGAAACTAAACCTTCATGGAGTTATTTCAGGTACAAGGGCTTTTTTTTTCTGCTATCAATTTCTGTTATTTTTAGGTTTTCTGTTTAACCCCAACTTTGTTGTAATTATGCAATTTAGAGTTTTTGTGCCTTTTTGATAGTATTGCTGGTTTCGTTATGTCTATATCCTCAGGCCTTTTTACCTGCAGTCTGGCTTCTGTTCATAGTTATAGTTTGTTGTATTCTGTTCCTTGGTTCAGTTTATTTTACGTTCCCCATGTTTTCCCCATCTCTTATTTAGCCGCCATTTCCTGTTTTGTTTTTCTAGTGCCATAGTTTGATCTTCGAATGGACCATCACTACTTTCTGCTACTTGTTGGATTTATTTTTTTATACATTCTGCATCTGTTATTTCATTACCAAATGTGGAAATTAATATGTTTTTATGTCTGTGAATGTTCTCAGTCATCCAGGTCATCGTAGTCAAAGGAGCTTGCAAAGAAAAGCGTCTGGACTTCTTTAAGCTGCTTGAAGACGTTTCACTTTCTCATCCAAGAAACTTCTTCAGTTCTGTATAAGAAATTTCAGCAATATGTTTTTATGAATATTGTCCCATTATACTTAGTTATTAACAATTAATCCAGTAATGGATAAAGTTAAAAATATTAAAAAGAACATATGAAGTTTCTTTCCTAAGTTTTAAGAAAAGGTTTGCAGTGACTTCTTCTACTGTAATAAGTAGTTTCAGTATGGAGTTAAAATAATGATAATATATTATTATTACAAAAAAATAGTATGTAAAAAAAAAAAAGAAAACTTTTCCGATTGTCCTTAAACAATTCCACATGTTTTGTGAATTAAAAAAAAAAACTAACCTCCATCCTCAGATATCAGTGGGGCTTGTTCAGTGTCAGGAGTTTGGGAATGGGGCCATGGGAGTGGAACCCCTGAGTTTGAGGCAGGTCGGCAGATTCGTGATATAGTATACATATATACAAAGGGTCTGCCTTCACCAAAGAAATTGTCGTGGTATACACAATGTGCTCCTGAAATTTCTTGCTTAAAATGTAGTTTTTGTTTGTTTGTTTCATCATTATTTACAATTCAAAGATCGTGTATGGGCACGCTCCTTTTGCATAGTCATGTGGTGCAGTGATGTCTGCGTGCTGCAGCACAGCCTCTTTCAGTGCTACACCAAAGGCTGTAAATCTGTTATTCCTGCTGTCGAGAAGTACAGGGCACTTTTGTACAGCATGTAGTCGTTATTATAGGATCTGAGAGTCACTTCCGAGTTTGTTCTGAGAACACAGGATAGTTTCGTTCTGACGGCTGATAGTCAGAACAGAATACAACAAACTTCCCAGAAGGAACGAGGTTTCGTTTTCAAGGCCAGAAGAAGTTCCAGCTGACCATAAGAGAATTACGTTTTGTGTAATGTAATTTAATGTGCAACTATTAGTATGATAGTAAGCTGTAGTTAAACTACTTTATAAAATCTTGATTTACCAATTCTTATATTCTTATATATTGCTTGTTCTAATTTTGCACACCTCCGTTGCTTGTCAAGCTTTTGTAGAAAAATTTCACTCGCATGTACTGTACCAGTGTACCTCCACATGTGATGTGACAATAAAAGTGATTTGATTTGATTCATTCTCATACACAGTAGTGTTTGGGATCAGCTTTCTTTCCTTTAGCGCAGATTCAGCATGTCGGCCCAAAATGCAATGAGGAGCAATCAAACAGCCATTCATGAGATTCTGTCCGGAGACTACGGGCTAATTCTCAACAAAGATTATGAGAATAACCTGATCACTCAACGGGACTACGAGAATCTTAAACGCATCAACAACGTAAATGTGGAGACACACGTCATTGAGCTCGTGTATAAGATCATGAATAAAGGAGAAGAAACATGCAAAGACTTCCTGAACCTCCTGCAAACCGATGGCGCCATTAAAGAAACTTTCCCTCAGCTGGCGAGTTTACAACTGACTTACACCCCCCTTTTATCCGAGCCGGTCCAAGTGTCTTCATGTCAGCACGGTAACACACACACGTCACACTGTACGCTGTGTCTTCTGTTATGTCTCAGTTTTATTGTCCTTCCCTCAGATGTTCTGCCACAAGATGGAAATATGTCAAAGGTGAGGTGCTGATGCAGAAACAGCCTCCTGCACTTGTGACATCGCTTGAGACAGATATGTAGATGAAATTCTGTGGTTACGCAGCCTGTAGTAACACAT